TCTTTCTCCCAGACCAAGGCACTGACTGCATTGTTCGTACATAATTTAAAAGCACTCTCTCCTTTTCACTGTAAGACCAGAGTTCTAACTGGCCACGCCGAAGCTTTGGTCTATCAGCTCTATAGCCATCAGCTCTTTTTCCATAGGTCACTCATCTTTGTATTTTCTGTAGGTGTTTGCTTGGCTTTTGTTGTAAAATATAAAAATACCTCAACATTAAATGACATTCTCTTTCCCTTCCCCTAACCTGATCTCAATCTCGATCCTTCTCTCTCTCACTGTCTCTCTCTCTCTCTCTCTCTCTCACACACACACACACACACACACACACACACACAGAGCCATTAGCTAATTTGGTGGGAAAGAGACTGATTCTTCCTTCAAATTTGAATCTAGGTCTTGAAACTATGAGAAAACTCACGGTCACGGAAGATGCCAAAAACACACAGGATTCTGAGCCACTTTTAGCTTTGCCCCTTATCAGCCTGTGACTTAACTTTTCTATTCAATTATCTTTTGAATAGTGATAGTAATGACTACCACCCACGTGCCTTTTAGAATAGACTCAGAAGGCAAGCAATCTAACTGCTGTTTAAGAGCATATGTTTGGCCTCCAGCTGAATTACAGTTCAAATATTGGCCCTGCCGTTTTACTAGATGTATGATCTGAGTATGAATGTAAAGTACTTACTAGAGCATCTGGTGCATGATAAATATTAAATTATTAGCCCCTGTTATTTCTCCTTTAAAAATTGTAAAGTATCCCACCAATATAATTTCTATTACCAAAAAATGCCCACAAAGTAAAACATCCAATAACAGAACATTCATCAAATGCTTTCTCAGTATCCAGTATCACATCCTTCCTTATCCACAAAGCCTGCTGCCCTCCTCAGATAGGATGCTCACATCTCTGACACACTTATGGAGGCAGAAGGCCAGCCACAATTCCCTTCAGTTTTAAAGACTCAGCCAGATGTATCAGGTAATAACTTCTCTAAAGGTCATCTATCAGGAAGGAGGAGAAAAAAAAAGTCCTAATTGCTCTAGTCAGAGATGTCATTAGTTATGTACCCGGCTCCTATGGAGTCTGCATGGCATTTACAGAAATGGCATCCACCACGGGAAAATGTTACCAAAGCAGACAAGTGTTTAACCTAAATATTAAGTAGCTCCCTGCTGTCTACTAATCCATTACTAAGATAATCTATCTTTAGAGGACGCTTCTTTCTGATTCCACAGTCCTGATACTTGATTCGCTCAAGCTATAAAATTTTTATTTGGATTCCATGGCCATTCCCATAAATCAAAATTACTTTTTCTCCCCCTCCTGTGAAATAGTAAAACCATGTAGAACAGATTTTAGACTAAGTGATCTAACCTCATTCCTATTTAATTTGTCAGGAGCGAGCATCATTGATTTTTTTTTTTTTCTTTAACCCTCCAGTTGAAAGTCCAGGGCCTTCTTTTGAAATGAGAACACTACTTTCAGAATCTTGAGTTTCATTATTAGTTAGTTTGTTTAATCTTACAGAAAGCTCTAAAAGAGGAAACCATATTAGTTTCTCTCCAGGAATTTAATACAACCACTACATACTCTTAAGAGTATGACAGTGTTCAATTTCTCGTGTTTATAATCACTACCAGATAGCAATATGTGAGTAAGATGCATGGCATAGCTTCTTAAAAAATAGCACCTGGGGTTTGTCATAAAAATGTGCTATGCTGTGGTTGAACAGACATAAATAAAAACTAAAGGTCTTATATTGCATGGTGAGGCTTTATCGCTCCTGAATACTGTACAGATATTTGAAAATGCCTACCATATCTCACTTTAAAAGATTTTCTAGTACCTATAAAATATTTATATAAAATGGACTTTTACAGGAGATGCCTAGATCATTTATCATGAGGATGAGTTACATAGAAGCATCGAGAATAAATATACCCTTCATTCGTAATGGGAATCTAGCCTTTCCTTGAGGGCTCATCCAATTCTCTTTTTGTTAAATATCATTTTGGGAGAACAAGTGGCAAAAACATCTTAATATGGTAATGATATCAGCAAAACAAGGATGTATTTGGGAGTTTTTAGTTGGCGCATTATAAGTATTACAGCATCCAAGAGAAAAGGGCACACACTTCTGAAGGTGACTAAAGTTACCACAGAAATTCTTCCTGCATAGAGAAATGGTATAAACATTATTATTATTTCCAAGCCAGAAATGCTCTAATTTGTATATGTCTTTATACCCAAATAATCTAAATGTCAGAAATAAGAAATGATCATGGAGCCCTCCCCTGTGGGCTCTCACAGTTGGACCACCAGCTCTGAAGTTCCCTTGATGCTAATAATAATAATATCACTCTAAGGTATAGTTAGTTATCTCGTCATTCATCTTTTAGCTGCTTGGCTAAAAATGTTTGTCTAAAATAAAAGTATACTATAAAAGAAATTAGTTGAAGGCTAGGTTTGTTGTGAACTGAAATATTTTCTCCCAATCCCAATGTTTAAATGGTTAAAAATAACAGCATAGGGCAAAGGCCCTTCTCTTTTTAAGCATTTTGGAAATCTAATTTTAAAGAATGGCAGGCCAAATTACTGTTTTCTTTTTTTCTGACAATGCCTGATTTCTTCCAGGACATTAATGACGAATACCAATGGCCTATCACAGGGTCATTAGAAAGTCCATTAAGATAGGCTTTCCAGGATTTCCAGTAGAGTTAACATGTGTTGACTCCTGTCCTCCGCAAGGCTAGCAGAAGGCACTGCTGGGCTCGAACTAGGAAGCCCGCTTAAGTCTTCAAAACAGGTGTTAACTGTTAAACATCCTGCTTCTCCGGGACTTTTAGAAGAATAGGTACTTTCTCCTTTTAATTTTTTTTTTTTTTTGAAAGTTCAACTATATAGGCTTTACTGTTGTAATTTGCTTTTTTTTTTTTACTGTTAAGTAGCAATTCACTCAACAAATTATTTTTTTTTCAATCCCCATCAAAATACCATCAACTTTTTTCAAAGAAATGTAACAAATAATCCTAAAATTTGTATGGAACCAGAAAAGACCCCAAATAGCCAGAGGAATGTTGAAAAAGAAAAGCAAAGCTGGCAGCATCACAATTCTGGACTTCAAGCTCTATTACAAAGCTGTCATCCCCTTTTAATTTTTAATACAAATTCCTGTATTCCACAAAAAGGTATATTCCTGGGAGAATTTCCGAATAATGTGAGTCTGTGAGGTGTGAGTCTCCGTGTGACACCACAGCTCACCCTCCAGGATATGGAGACGTAGTAATACCAGAACGACTCAACAAACTGGTTTTGGAAGCCACAGAAGTGGTTACGTGGCAGCTGGCCTTGTCTCTCTCTCAACGGTGGCACTGAGGAAGTGGAGAAGTAAAATAAGCTCTAAAAGGGATTACTCTTAGGTTCCTCTGAATGCACAGTTGCCAAACGTATGTCAGAGGACAAGGCAAAACTGTGCATTACAGAATCGAAGAGAGTTAAAGATGAATGAGATCTTCAAGATCAGCTGGCTCGGGGACTCTCAATGTTTACTTTAAGAATATTGCTAGGGGCGCCTGGGTGGCTCAGACGGTTAAGCATGTGCTTTCGGCTCAGGTCATGATCCTGGGGTTCTGGGATCGAGCCCCGAGTTGGGCTCCCTCCTCAGCAGGGAGTCTGCTTCTCCCTCTGCCTCTGCCCTTCCCCCCACTCATGCTCTTTCTCACTTTCTCAAATAAAGAATCTTTCAAAAAAATACAGAATATTCCTAGACGCACCCACTGAGAGTATGACTCAGCAGCAGCAGGTAAGAAGTAGTAGGCATATGTTAACACTTCCAAAGCACTTGCCTTATGCCAGATATCGTGCTAAGTTCTTTACAAATACCACTTATTTAATCCTTGCAACAATCCTGTTGGGTAGGTGCTATTTCCCCATTTTACAGATGAGGAGACCAAGGCACAGAGTGGTTAAGGAATCTGCCTGAGGCCATCCAACTAGAAAGTGAATCAGCTGGCTTTAGAGTCTCAGCTTGTCGTCGTCACTGCACTGAAATTACCTACCAACTATGGGCTATGGTGAGGCCCAGGGCATTAAGAAAACATCATGACTGAAATCAGCTTTTCTGAATGGAGAAACCGAAAACCAGAGGAATGAAGTCCCTTATCCAAGACAAAAATCCTTCGGTGCATTTCCAGGAAGAAATCAACCATTATAGGACACCAACTGTTCTTAAATAGTTCTCTATACTTATTCCTCCAGGGAGAAAATGACTAGATGGCATTATTAAAAGCCAGCCCAATGGTTCCAGCTGGGCTGCTCTGCTGTTCTGGGGCAGAGATTTCCATCCTCTTGGCTCAATTCACTGTTCATTCACAGGATAGGACACATTCCAGAGTCAGCATAAAGGGCTCCCAATCATGGTGATCCTCAAAGGGAGAGCAAAGGGAAAGGGGAGGGAGAGATGCCATCCCCCAAAGTGGTAACTGAAATGTGGGAGATAAGGTTCCCATAATTTGAGGATAGACAAGAAAGATGTGATTCTGATGTGGTTCCCAAGGATGGTCTTCCTGACCCTAAACTGACTATTTCTAAAGCCTTAGTACATGTGAAAACATTAGGTCATTGCTTTGTTTTAACATAAACAGGCAGCAGAATGACCATATCTACCCTAAGCTGGACCTACTCACGTGCATTCTCTCAAAGTGTGATAAATACATTACCTAACAACATTGGATATGCAGGATCAGGCCAAAAATCATACAGATTTACTGAAATTCTATCTTTTTACTTAGTTGTCATTTCTATTCAACAATCCAGGTAATCCTGGGGGACCATACGCAAGAATAACCATGCATTCCAAATGAAGGGGGAGCTAGCAGGACCACGATGCAGAGGCACTTCCAAGATAACAAGGAGGGGCTGGGGGTGGGGGTGGGGGTGGGGGTCAGTCTGCTCCTATCCCAGTGACGCAAACTGGCAGCCACGTCAAACCAACCTTCATCACTTCCACCTGCAGGTCTTCATTGAGGGAAGGCGTCACTTTCACAGCGTTCAGGATCTGATTGAGCAGCTGCTTCTCATCAGAGTCTGTTTCCATGGATACAAACCTCTCTTCTGACAGAAGCTTCTGTAAAAAGGCACAAGGCAATGATCACAGATAGGCTTTCCCCTGCTGCCTTAGTCTGTTGTACCTTTAGTACGTACTGATGATAATTTTTCATACTCAGGAGCCATGGAGGTGGAGGCCATTCGGAAAGAACTCATGTTATGTGGCAACAAACAAGGAAAAACGCATCAAACCTTTCGCAAACAGTGTGGGCAAAGGCTTTTTGCTGCTATTAGATAATTCATTCTAAATAACATGGCGACCATACAGGTTGTGTGGTGGGAGGGGATGGAGGATGACTGTGCTCAGGGGAATCTAGCACATTACCAAAGCCACATTCACACATACCCTCTCCGAACGTAGCTTTGTCACAGGAAAGGAGAAGGTCTTGTAGACAACAAGTTCGTTTTTCAGATATTTACCTTTTTACTTCCTAACATGAACTGTCATTTACCCAAGAAGTATTCATGAACTCACAAGTCTTAATGCACTTTTCATTAGAAAATGAACCCCACAAAAACCAGAATGAGAAGATGTTCACTTTCATGAGGTCTCTCAGGAGATATTACACCTCACAGTTCTTTTCTGTGAGGGGACAACTCTCATTTTTCATAAAATTCTGTCTTAGATTAGACCAAAACCCTCCCTAGAACTCCTCCTCCTTCATCTTTTCCTGGAGCCACAAGGACTAAGCTAAAATATCAGAAGTCAGCTGTGAAGTCCACCTAAGTCTTTTCTTCTCCTTGGGCATCTTCAAATGTTCCTGGTGTGAGATGGCTTCACAGATCCTCTCCTGCTTAAAATGTGGCCTCCAGAGTGAATGTCACACTTTAAGGGGTGGTCTGACATTAAAGAATAATGCAACCAAGAGCGCTCCCTAAGGTACACTCTGAACTTTGGGTGATTAAGACAGGTCATTATAGGGGCGCCTGGGTGGCTCAGTCGTTAAGCGTCTGCCTTCGGCTTAGGTCATGATCCCAGGGTCCTGGGATCGAGCCCCGCATCAGGCTCCCTGCTCGGCAGGGGGGGGTCTGCTTCTCCCTCTCCCACTCCCCCTGCTTGTGTTCCCTCTCTCGCTGTGTCTCTCTCTGTCATATATGTATAAAAAAAAAGATAGGTCATTATAGGTTGATCCTTGGTAAAAAATGTACCATTCTGGTGAGTGCTAATGGGGAGGCTAGCCATGGGTGGGCGTAGGGGACATAACGGGAAATTTCCATACCTTCTTCTCAATTTTATTGTAAATCTAAAACCGCTCTTAAAAAAGAAAAGTCTTGGGGCGCCTGGGTGGCTCAGTTGTTGAGCAACTGCTTTCGGCTCAGGTCATGGTCCCAGAGTCCTGGGATCGAGCCCCGCGTCGGGCTCCCTGCTCCGCGGGAGGCCTGCTTCTCCCTCTCCCACTCCCCTTGCTTGTGTTCCCTCTCTCGCTGTGTCTCTCTCTGTCAAATAAATAAATAAAATCTTTAAAAATAAAAAATAAATAAAAAAAAAGAAAAAAGAAAAAAGAAAAAAGAAAAGTCTTAACAATGTTTAAGATGGCAGAAGGGAAAGACAAAAAGAAATGGGGTCTTTGGTGGCACCACTGAGCTGGCACACCAAACCTAGAACTGCCTGCCTCTAGAACTCTAGTCATGTGAGATAATTAAATGTGTTTATTGCCTAAAACCAAAAGCTAAAAAACAGCAATGCATAACTTCAATTATATTCTCAGATCAAATGAGCTTAGTTGTAAGTCACAGTACATTCTATGCTGACTCACCCTGAAATCACTAATTCTCATTCACAAGGGCTGCAATTAAGCTATTCTTCCCATCCTGTCCATTTTTGAGACCTTCGTGTAAGATTTTATATTTATCCCTGTTAAATCTGTCCTCGTCCCCTTCAGCATAGAGTTGCAGTTGTGAAGAAATTTTGGAATTCTGAACTCTCTACAAAGAGAGTGTAAGGACTCCCTCTCTTAGTGGAATGTCACTGCAGATCCAGAAAAGAAGTATTTCAAACCTTCTTAGGACTCCCTGACATTTTGTCCACATCCTCTCAAAAGAGATTTTTTTTTTCACAATCACGCAGTGCATGCTGGGCACCCTAGAGTTAAGTTTATATACAAACTTGTTTTGACTTGAAGTGGTTAGGACCGGAAAGCCCTACAATAATGTGAAAGTTCAGAGGAAGTAACAGGGTGGTCAGAGGAAGACTCACGGTCCACCAAGTCACTGGAGTTAACACGATAAAGCAAGCCACTGAAAGCATGGTTCTGTAAGCTTAGAGCATTTGGGAGTTAAAAATGTAAATGGGGGGCGCCTGGGTGGCTCAGTCAGTTAAAACGGCTGACTCTTGATTTCGGCTCAGGTCATGATCTCAGGGCCCTGGGATTAAGTCCTGCATTGGGCTCCATGCTCAGCGGGGAGTCTGCTCAAGATTCTCTTTCTCCCTCTCTCCTCCCTCTCCCCCCACTCTTGTGCACTCTCTCTCCCTAAAATAAATAAATAAATCTTAAAAAAAATAAATGGAAATCTGTACAATACTAGAGAAAAGGGAACATACATAGCAGGTCAAAAAAACTCCCATTCACAGTCATGGTTAGCCCAATCACCTTGGAGAAAGCAAAGAGTTTTTAATAACACTGACAATGTTTAAAATGGTCTAATGCTAATGCATATTAAAACATACATCATCTAATTTAGATCCACTGGAGAAAGAAGAGCCATAGTCTTCTCACTCTTTCATATGTATGAGAAAGCCACTTAAAGGATGAAGTAGTACACGCTAATGTGAAAAGACATCTGACAAATGCCACCAATCCATGGCCATCCTGAATAAACCCCACAGGCTTGTCACTTAGAAACTAAGCCACTTAAAAGTCAATATATTATATAGTCATCACCTTTGCACTGTTGGAATTAGACCTATTCTATATGGTGTAAAATACAAATGAACAAATGCTCAGAGAAGAAAGTGTTCAAGCAATCTCACTTTTCTGATTGGGCCAATTTTTTTTTCCTCCCATTCCTGCTCTGGAAACAAAACACATGAATTCATTCACCCGCCTAGCTGTAAAATAGAAAACAAGACAAAATCCTTCCAGTTTACTATTAATTCTCCTACACAGAACCAAAGATGTTGGATGTATACAAGATTTTGATTGGTACAGAACTTGAGGTGTCTCTCTAGGGATCTTTTGCCCTCCTAAACTTGGACATTCCTCCAAATACTTAATTTCTGTGTGAGCTTAGCTGGGAATCAGTGTCAGATGACAAACGGTCAACAAGCTAATGCTATGCCCAGAGAAATGCTGGTAAATATAAGAAAATTCTGTTGTCCTCTATGGTTATCACCTAGTTCAATCAAATTGTGGTCCAGGTCTTTAAACAGCTAGTATTTAAAAATGTTAAGTATTTGCTCTTTCAATGCCAAAGTAGCCCGTCAATTTCTGTCACCTGGTTGCGCCCAGTGAGAGCCATACCTGTATTCCTGCCAAGGCATGTTGGGCCAGTTTCACATTCTTGGATTCCAGAGCCAACTGGAGAGGAAGCAAGCATTTCTCCCTGGCAAACACATAAATAAGGACAACATATGAGCTCAGCAAAGCTGACAGTCAAGTGATACAAGCCTTATGCACACCCACTCCCAAATGCTATGACACACATACATAAAAACTATAACCGGTAATAAAACTGCACATGGACTTAAAAAAAACACAGCAAAAAAAATCTGTGCTGAAATGATAGTGTATCAGCACTTGCCTTGGCCCCAGGAAGAGCCAACATAAGGACCCTCAACCAATTGTTTTGATGCACAAATTATTACATGTGGCGGGGCTCTCACCAGTCCATGCACGCACGTGCCTTGCTCTTTCCTAAATATAATTGCTGTACCCAGTACATCTGGGGTGAGCTACTCTAGAAAGCACCATTTATATAGATTTCAATGCCTTGTTCATACCCCTCTCTCACCTACAAAGGGAATGCATCACCACCACTACTCTGCCTCATCAATAGAAATCGAAATTGTATTAACTTGTCAGTTTCTCTCCAATTCAAAATGTTCAACAATCATTTATAATTTTTAAATTTGTTTTTTAGTCTCCATCAGGTAGAGCTGAGTTTTGTGATGGGTTCCTAATAAACATGTTTCCAAGACAGAAATATAAATATCAGCAGCTTTGACGAATGAGAAGTACGTGGTACCATGGGAGAGGTGAAAAAGAAATATGTGGGGAGGTACCTGGATATTGTAAAGCTTAAAAAAATAACTGGGCACTAAAATATGTTAGGAATAAACCAAAAGAGCTATAAAAAAAATCATCTTTCTGTTAGAACATTCACTCTAAATAATTAAACAATACCCAAGAATTTTAATCAACCTATTATTTCCCCACGGAGCTACACTGGCACAACAAATGGAATGTTACTTAATTTTACCAGGTTCCCGCCGCCCGCCGCCCCCCCCCCCCCTTAAACCACAGCAACCTCATTTTTATCTGTTTTATATTTTCAGCATAAACTGAAAGATTCATGGAGTATGAAAGCTACAGGGTGAGACTACAGGACTTCGTCTTTGGAGAAATAAGGGTCACTGTTGTAGAACACAATGAAACAGAAAGTTAATTATAGCTCTCATTCCTTCCTATCCACCCTGCAGCTCTGCTGCTTTTCTTTGGATCCCCCATAGCAGCTCCATGACAGATGAAGCAAGAGTCACAGACCCTCCCTCATGCTGGCCACAAAGACAGAACAAAGACAGACTCCATCAGAGAGAACATTAGCCTTCCCAGGCCTTCTCACCCCTCCCCTCACCAACCCAATGCCACAGTGGCCATTTTTACGTGACAATCGATGAACACTGCAGCCATTTTTCATTAGACACATCCTGCGACAGATGGATAAATCATGCAACTGTGCTCCTTCCAGCTGGGGGGCTGAAATTTTGTCACCATATCCTTATTGGCAGCTTAACTACCATTACAAGGCAAACACGGCTATGCAGTCAATTAAAGCAGGAGTAGCTGATTGTTGCCAAGTTGTTTTTTTTTTTTCTTTTGTTTTAATCAGAACCAGTTTCTAAGCCGGAAAAATTAACTGGAAGGGTGAATGTTGAGCAGTAGAAATAACAGGCAGATGGAGTATTAACAGAAGAACCATAGAAGCTCATCTGTAAACGCTTGAAGCTATCAAATTTCCATCAGGATTCATTCATTGGGAAAGAACTTTCAGCTCACATTTGGAGTCAGATGGGCCAGTGAAGGCGCAATACCAATGAGCAAGTATGGAGGCCCCAAACCCTCGCGGTCTTACAGCCTGAAGAAGGAAAGTCTCTGCTAAATGGCCCTGGGCTGAAAATGCACAGATAGCACACATTACCCACCAAGGGCACCAAACAAGAGCGGAGGCCACATTCAGCAGCCACAAGGATACTCTGGAAATGCTGAACCTCCCGACCCTTGGGAAGCAGTATTATGTTTGCATATAAACAACTGCAGACTCATATCGCCCTGCTGTCTTCAGAAACAGTCCTTGAAATCCTCATTCCATTTTCTCATCTACTTCCACATTCGCACAATTTGTACTGCAGACCTCAGCCAAGTTGTGGACAAATGCCAGGGCCACCAGGTTGCACCAGGATTCTAGGGGACATCACTGAACAGCCTGCTCCCTGTGCTAGTCATGGTCACCGGACAGGACTGAAACATGTAAGTGGTTCAGCTAAATGTGGGCTGAATTGAAAGGTATCAGTGATTAGTGGAAAGAACATGGGCTATGGAACCACATAGACCCGGATTCAAACCCTTACTATAAATTGTATGATCTCAGTCAAGATACTTAACTTTGTTGGGTCTTACTTCCCAATCCATAAAAAGGGCATCTGATGACCAAACCGGCAGGGTTGCAGGAAGGAGTACAAATAATATATCAGGGGTTGGCAAACTTTTTCCATAGAGAGGCAGGTAATAAATATTTTAGGTTTTCTGTCCATGTAGTCTCTGTCCTAAGTACTCAACTCTGCCATAGCTCAAGAGCAGTTATAGACAATACATAAATCAATAAGCATGGCTATGTCCCAATAGAACTTTATTTACAACAACAGGCAATAAGCCAGATTTGGCCTACAGGCTATAGTGTGCCCAGTCCTGATATAGACAAGGGCAGCACAGATCATGATTTCCTGCACAGGATAATAAGATCTAACCTTGTCACATAGTATGTAGAAAGATTTTGTACGGGACATGGAGCTAATTGTCCTGGGAGGGTTTTGACAAAACCAGGCTCTCTCCTAGAGGGCGGTCTTACAGAACCAAGATCTGTCTTAGAAAAATAAGTGTTTTGAGGAAGCTGACAGAAATTTCATCTAAGCCAAGGCACTCCATCATTCCAACCATCTATTCAACCAACATTTGAGCACCAGTAAGACACCATCACGGATGCTCAGAAAAATCTGGCCCCAAACGCAACTGAACAGATACTTGCTTTCATTTCATTCAAGGAAAGAAAGAAAAAAATACAATTAGCACTTATTTCTCTGTTTAGTGTACCTGTCACTTCAACCTTAAAATAGGCATTTTTACCCTGTTTCACATTTGAGAAACTGTAGGTTCAGAGAGGTTCTGTAGCCCGCCCAAGGCCACACAGCTAAAATCTACTGAAGACAATCCAAATGGAAATCCATCTGACCCCAAGACCAAGTTCCTTCCAACACCCTTTGGTCTCAAAATATCAAAGCAAAATTAGGATAGATCTGTTTCTTAACCTTTTCTGGATCATGAACATAAAATATCTGGCACACGACCCTCTTCCTAGGGAAGTGCAGAAATCATTTCAGGGGACTCATGACCCCCCAAATGCCAACTTCATATGGATCCCAAGTTAAAAGCCCCTGACCTCAAGGGAAAGGACCTTGTCCAACATGGTGGAAATTTTGATGGGTCAGAGAAGAGGTACATGTTCCCTGACTGGGCTTAAGTTCCAGAAGGATAGACTTTGAAGTGATGTTACGCTGAGCCCTGGGGCAGAGAGGGAGCTCTGTGTGTGTGTGTGTGTGTGTGTGTGTGTGTGATGACTCTTCAGGATCCAAGGTCTCTTCTCCCCTCAGACCCAGCGGTGCCCTAGATTAGCATCACAAGCCCCAGCTCCTGACTTCAACAGGAAATGAACACATGGGAAATGAAAGAAGCTCATAGGCACAACTGATTTCATCGCTTGCTCTGTGGTATCATAAAAACTCTGCTGCCTTACTTTTTTTTTCTTTTTAAGAGATTTTAATGAAAGAGAATAACAGGCCTGCTAATTGGGTCTCAGGATGACATTTATAATGAAGTTGCAAGGTGGCACACACCAGTCCCCTTTGCACATAACATATTAGAATAAATCATCTTTTGATCTCTCTAGATGCTGCCTCATTGGGAAAAGGGCATACCAGATAACAATTTTCAGTTACATTAAGTGATTGTTTTTTATGCACAGGCATGTGCAAGTTCCCTCTTGCTTAATTAAATAAGGGCAGTGGCCTCAGGTTTCATGTCCTGACATGCGATTATTTCTTAAAGAAGAAGAATCGGCAGTATTGAATATGCATGAGGAGGACATCATCCCGTGACACTGTGTCTGGTTGTGTCAAGGAGACTAAATCTGTTTCCTTTACTGGGTTGCAAGACCAACTTTACCGGGCTGGAAGATAGCAATGAACACAGGGAAATGAAAATCGGTGAATGGGGAAAAGTCAGGATTTACCAAAAACTAGCTTTCAATACCAACTTCAATATGAACTTCAAGTAAAACCAAATCAATTCCTGAATGTTGGGCTGATTACTCTTTGATGAACCACACGGGAAAGCACACAGAGACTCTAGATCTGTAAGGTCTGCCGACACTCTCCAATTCTAGGATTCTCGGATCTGAGCCATTTATTCAATAACGGTCTGAAATGCTTCATATAATAACCATGGCTCTGGCTGAAAATCAGAGGCATCTATGTGCAAACGTCCATGATCACATGTTCAGCTCTCCTATTTTATTTAATTACAACTTTTGAAAGTAGAGATTGAATTGTCGACAGGACAAAGAAATATTAGATTACTTGTCCAAAGTCCCATGTTTGTAAATGAAACAGCTGTGATTTAAACTTGGACCATCTTCAAAACCCATAGCCTAGGCCTCCACAATGCCTTCACCAACAGACAGCTCCCCACCAACTGTGGCAGACACATGGCTTTAAAAAACAGCAGTTCAAATGTCTCCCAGGTTAAAAGACTAGGGACAGGCATCAAACAAGTCATGTAAATCATCTTATTTTGAGTGACCACTGATGAAGCAATGCATTATACTGACAGTGGGTATGTAGTTATGAAAAGGTATAGACAGTTTGGATGAATGGGAAAATGTGGCTTTAAAAACCAGTTGCTGAGTTTAGGTTACAGCCATCTACTTTTCCTAGTAGCCACAGACCTTCCTAATTTGAGTTCAGGAGGTTTTTCACCGCTTCCCCTCCCCCCTTGTGTGACACTTGGGACTTTATTATTTGTGTTTATGAAGACAGGCTGTAAACAGTTTGT